TCTAGCAAGCCCCTTCCTCAGCCTTCTCTCTTCTTCTCCATCAACATTGAAACATGTGATCCCCTTTTCTGCTCAGGGCTCAAGCCACGTGGCCCTGTCCAACAATAAACCATCATTCCAAGCAGCCTCCATGTCTCCAGTGTCTTTTTCCCCACTTGGAGCCGAACCCAGAAGGACATTTCTTTCAAGACCTATTTCCTAAAATATCTCATTTTCCTAGGAGAGGGGTGAGTGCTAACTTCCTACAACAGGATCCCCATCTTCCTAATTGTTTTGGTTTTATATAAAATTATTATATGATGTTGGAATGCCTTCTGGGACTCCGATCTCAAATGTCAAATCTCAAAAGGCATTTATTTTGCCCTTGTTCCATCTTAGTTCAGACAAAGTTTTCGCCTTAGTTGATTTCATTTTTAATGCTCCATTTTAATTAGTCTGGAGACCTTTTTAATTAGTGTGTAGTAGACCTTTCCTTTGCACACTCGGTATATTTTCCCTACGTGCCCTTCTGGTAAGCTGCACACAGCCCTCAGAGATTCGGCAGTGTATAAACTGCAACAATAACAACCACAACAGCAGCGACAATAACACGTCTCCTGCCAATCTACGTTTCCTTGCCGCAGTCCTCCACTATCACAAAGTCGGACGCCTAGAGTGGCGAACACAACGGAGTAGCGTGGCGTCCGGCCAAGGGGGGGAGGACCTCGGCGTTTGGCCGCTCTAGCCCATGCGACGATAGCTACCGAGATTCTTCTCCCGCCCCCTTTCAGAGCTCAGAACGGTCGAGCGCGCCTGCGCGCAAGTGTCGTTTTTTTCCCCCTCATCATCGGTGTCGGCGAAGGAGCCGAGTCGAAGGCTTCGGAGGGGCCGGAAACCGCGGTGAGAGACGGGGGGAGCTCGTTCGCTACTGGGGGGGTCGCTTCTGAGAGGCCTCCGGAAAGCGGACGGGAAAGAGAAGCGGGGAAAGCAACCACGGGCCTAGTCGGCGTAGCCCTAGCCCTCCGCTTCTGAGGGAGGATGGGAGGAAAGGAGGCTGAAAGGAGTTGGGCGGGGCTTAGCTTCCCTCGCAGGAGAGCCGGCCACGCCCCCTCCAAGGCCTCACCGTTCCATTCCCCCCCTCCCCTCCCGTTCGGGACTGCCACGAACTCGGTCGCGCGGCGCTCTCGCCCAAGTCTCGCGGGAACATCGCCGCCGCTGGAAAGGAGATGTGGACGGTCCCTTCCGCCCGCCGGACGGGCCCCCGTTTCCTGGAGGAGGGTTTTAGGGGGCCCCCTCGCGCCCGGGAGCCCCCCCGATGGGTAGGGTAGGGTGGGGCGAGGATGAGGGTGGTGGGGCGGAGCTGGGTGGCTGTCGGTTGGGGCAGGCCCTCCGTGGGGGGCGGCCTGGCCTTTCAACCCCCCCCCCCCTCGCTGGGGTTCCCTTCTGGCCTGGCTTGGGGAGGAGGCCGCCTTGGGAGTGGGCAACGCCAG